CTTGAGCTTGAAGCAGCGACTGATTTGCCTCGTTGGCGTTCTGTTTCTTGGCCGCGGACACCTCGCCTGCGATGCGCGCCTTCTCCGCATCCAGCTTGCTCTTGTCTGAGGCCTGCTGGGTCCTGGCTTGCTGCTGCAACTTCTGGATGTCCTCAGCACCCTTGGGATGAGGACGGGGCTTGTAAGCTTCCACCTGACAGGCATCCGACTGGCTGGTCTCCGGGTGGGCCGCCAGCAAGGCTGCAAGGAGCTGATCCTTCGTGAGGGCAGCATTCTGGAGAGCCTGCTGCACCTGCCACGTAAGGAAGGAAATGTTGAGGGTAAGGTCTACGCCTATCGGACCTGCCACGCTTCATGTCTACCATCAACCCTATCCAGCGAGGACTTCAAAGACCACCTGACAGCCTTGGCAAAATCGTAAGCAAAAAGCCACAGCCTTCTTCTCAGTGCTCACCATCTGTCCGATCAGCGAGGAGGTGCCCTCCTCGATCCCATCCCACTCCGTCGGCAGAGCCATGGCACCGGCAGGTGAGCAACAGCAAGTCGTGGGCAACGCTCAGCAAAAATGCTGCAAGGTTGGAATAGGTCACGCAAGTACCGCCTGAAATCTCGCAAGTATCCAAGATGAGGAATCCAGCCTGAGGTTGTGCAAGTATTGCTCAAAATTAGGAAGTCAGCCTAAAAGATTTCAATCCTGAGGACACGAGAAGCAGCCCGAGGCTCCTTTTGCACCACATGGGCAGCAGGACTCTGACATCTTAGGCTGGGAAATGGGGACAATGCGGGGGAATAAGGATTACATAGGGGTTGTTTAGAGGTATTCTGCAAGCGCCAAGACCGATAAGCCGGCAGTGTAGCTGGAGTCATGAGGGAGGAGGGTGCCACTGGTGCTCTCTCCCATGCTCCAGACAACCAGACCTTGCGTGCGAAAAGAAATCGGCTCGGACTGCATGGAACAGCCTCAGGCGAACGCAGGTGCTACTAGCACCCAGCGGCTGGCAAAGGAGCTGCGCTGCTACGGTTTGGAGAATCCAGCTTGGGAGCGTTGACATCTCAAATTTGCTTTAAGATAGGAGCACGAGGCTCAGGATATATCATGTTTCCGAAGCTTCATTCTTATGGGATTCAGATGGCAATCGTCCCCTGTCCTGCGGACTCTCCACGCAGGGAGGCTCTGAACGATGTTTTTCAACATCCTGTTCGATAAAAAGAATCTAAGACTAAGGGTTGCTGCCTAGGTTTTGATCTGTACATTTTGCTACAGCAGCCGCGTTGTCTGTTAACATCTGTTAACATTGGAAGCCTGTCCAAAGCTCTAGTGGAGTCACACATAGCTCACACAGTTACGCCAACAGCTTCGGCGTCCCTAGAAAATCATTGCCCCAGATGAGCCATAGCAAAAGCATCTCCTCAGGCACGTCGGGGAGGATCCACGTAAAAGCTCTCGCTCATATACCAAGCCTGTGGCAGTGGGTGCAACCACATGGGCGAAAGTGACGTACGGGATACAAGTAAATTCGGGTGGCACAAACCTTCAGGCATCAACCACGGGCGTCCTGACTCACAATCAAGGCATGGAGATGTGAAGCTGAGGCAAAGTCAGCAACTAGAACTCCTTGAACAAAAAGATGAGGAATGGCGGGAGCTCCAGACAACTCTCAGTTCAAGGCCCCACCTCGTGCTTCTTCTTCCACTCTGCGAACCACGTCATTGCAGCGTCCGTGCCACCCTTGTCCGGGTGGAGCCTGTGTGATGAGTGATGCAACACCCTCAACTACTGGCAATCCAGGACCAGGACACGCAGGAGCAATCGAAAGAGAACGAGGAGCAAGCACAGAACAATGATGGGAAAGTACAGAACAATGATGGCTCTGAGCTGCTATGCTGCAATCAGCAGGTACCTGAAAACCAAGCTTACCAGACATCAAGCGCAAAATCAACGAGGAACTGAAAGAGAGCTCTTCAAGTAAGAAGCCTTATCTGAGACATGGGCAGGGTCAACATGTACAGCCCTCAGGAGGGAAGCAATCACTCACAAATGATCTTAATAGGAGTCTTTGGGGTTCAGGTCTGCTATCCTCCGTGAACGCCGGTCCGTCTAAGTCCGCATTGGGCTCCGGCGGGCCTCAGATTCAATTCCCTGAGGAATTTACGCTTCCTCTCAGGCGTATCTCTCTGTGCACGCGATAGGATCAGCTCCTTCTCAACTTGGCATGTGATCGTCCTGGCACACATGAAGCAGCACCGACGCATGAAGAAATACCCGAAAAGAAGCATCTGCCATTGGATAAAGCCATCAAGTTTGGTTAGCCCGGCACTCAGCAGGAGCTGCTTGAAATCTTGGAGTAGCAAAACTCGAGGTGACCACAAAACAAACACAGAAGCGTGATTTTGCTTGCTTCTGTTCTAGCGATGCTGAAAAACACACTGTGATAGCAACTCGCGCAGCAAGACCGCAAGTTCGCTTTCCAGATGCGCGGCGCCATCACGTCTACTTCAAAACTTCTAATGCACATGCGGTGGGCACAGAACGGCGTCATCGCAAAAACATGCTACCTCAACCAAATACATGTGAAGCTGGTGCTTTATAAAAAGCCCCATAGAATCACTCACAATGATGCTCTCTCGAGCAAATGGATTAGCTACAAGCTGCTGTCCTGGAAGTGGGATCCGTAGGATGCGCGGGGCTGGTGAACATGACATCGTTCTGCATGGGCAGCCTCGCATCTAAATGGTAAGGTATCCCAAATAGGATTCAGGGGATCAGGGCGGCTTGAAGCTGCAAACGGTGCCTCGAAACATCGAAAAGGATTGACATTACTGGGGCAGCCGCTGGCTCTAATGGCAACATGAGTAGCAGAGAGCTTGCCATTGTCAGGCCTAATCCTGCTCTTTGCTCTCTGCTGTGCTCCAGTGGATCGCAGAGGTTCTCGGCCTGCAAGGGTTTAGGGTAGCGCCCCTTGCACAACCCCCTCAACCCCCGACAGTGTGCCTGTAAACAATCAGGCCGTTTACTTGCAAACCCGGAGCCCTTCCCCTTCAAAAGCCGAAAAGCAAATCTGCTCAAGTTCTTGCAGAATATATACCCCATTATAATATAGTAGATTCCATTTTCTTGTCTCAGTATGACCCTATAGTCCCTATATAACCCATTATAATAGTTTCCATTTTCATTTCTATTATCCCAATAGAACACCACTGCGCGCCTTGGCCACTAGCAGCTTCGACTGCTTCAGCACTTGGCCTGTTCATCCCTCAAAGCACCAACCCCAAAGAAGGTCTGACTCATGCTTGCTCCCTGCATGAAGTGGAATGTAGGTTCAACGACATGACGCAAAACTCAAAATGTATGCTGGAAACAACACATCTTTACTGACGCGCACCTTCTGGAAGCATTGCACAGCTGATGGCACTGCAATAAAAGTCAAAACGGCTGAGTCAGGATTTACGTTGGGAGAACTCATCGAAAGGAAGGTCACACTTTTTGCCCGAAACTGCTGCAACTGTGGAAAGGGGACCAAGAAAAGACCTCGTGCTGTGAGAAACCCATTCATGAACAGTTGTATGATTTGCTTGAAGCACATACTGGCCCCTGAGGAGACCACGCCAATAAGCTATGAACGAACTGAGCACAACAGCTTGAGACACGATCTGCTTCACACGCATCCGTCCAACTCCGGCTGAGATGCCCCTGTAGCAGCCAAATTCCCGCACTTAGCAAACAAGCAGCCGGAGTCTACACATCTACCCAACAATGTCTTACTATTGCTTACATCAGTGGAGGGATGTTCTTCATCCTGGCCTGGCCGTTGGCATTGTAGGTTCCGATGGGCCTGCACAGGAAATTGCTCAAAGCAAAGATTCTGGGTGGGTTGCCTTTACGACATGGTCTGGTCTGGTCAGGGCAATTGTTAATCCAGGTCTCGTGTCTGCAGTGATGTTGCAAGAAACAGATCTCTGCGAAGCATCTCGTCTTGAATGCCAACTCTGAAAAACATGAGAACCGTAGACTCCAGGCAACCCATCATACGGCGGCGCCTGTACACACAGCTGCAACTTCCGGCGCTGGCTCCAATGCGTCAAGGAAGTCGTCAGCCCTTCTGGTACATGCAGGGCGCGTTGCGGTCACACTGCATCATAAGAAAGCTACTCTGCAGACTACCGAAAATTGCAGGCCGTTGATAGCATCGCTATACCGTGCGTGCAGCACACAGAGTCCAAGGGCATGACCAAAGCTGCTACTTCAAACATCTCTCTGGACACGCGTAGTGCTGGGCGTTATGACTATCCAGCAGGCTACAGTGAGGGCAAGTTTCTTAGCAACAACTACCAGAATGACCAAGCACGACACTCCACTCACAGACATGGCCCATAGTCTAAACTCCTAGCATCTCCCTTAATAACCCCTATAATGGTCCCCTGTCTAATCCCCCGTAGAACCCCCCTTCAAGGAGTTTAGACCCTAAACCCTGAACCCCCTAAACCCTAAAACCTATATAATCTCCCATAGCACCCCCCCTGTGGGAGTTTTAGTATATAGCTCAAATGGCCCTTGCCTGGGATCGGCTGGTGCCAACTTGCAGGCATCCTCTGGCCTGGGTCGTGGCTGTGGTGCTGCGACGATACTTGCGGTTTGGGGTTTAGGGTTTAGGGTTTAGGGTTTAGGGTTTGGGGCATAGGTTTAGGGTCTAGGGTTTGGAGTGTAGGGTTTAGGGTGTAGGGTGAACCAAATAGGTCTGGGTTTTTTTTTTTTACAACCCCTCAGACTTTTACCTCTGCAGCAGCTGCACGGGGATTATCTTGTGCCCTCCTCCAAAATCCAACCATCCAGGCTTAGCTTGAGTCGGCTGATTGCACAGTCGGAAAAATCGACACAACTCGCAAACGTATTGAAATATCACTGCCCGCACTCACATGACGCCCCTGACTGCCTGGTTCTGGAACGGCCCCTGCCACATCAAGCTCAGTGACCACAAGTTGCCCTCCAGGAAGCATAGATGGATTGCTAGGTCCCGCATTGTCCATCAACACAGCTGCAACCCCACTTAGGGTTTGGGGTTTAGGGTGTAGGGTTTGGGGTTTGGGGTTACATATACCCCTCTACTTGAGAATCAAATGGAAAAGAACATGGAAAATGAAATGGGAACTGCTACATATAGGGTCATATATGTACATCAAACAGGACTTCTTTACCTGCTTGGCGAAGAAGCTAGCAAGATCTAGCAAGTGAAGAATGGCAAGTTGAAAGTCTCAAAGCTCAAGACTTCAAGATTCTCACGGATTCTCTCTGAAACTTTAAAACTGAAATAAAGATTCAAACAGCGCTCTTCAGGAATATTTCAGCAAAGACTCAGAGGTTTCTCCTCGACAGGTCCACATCCGGCCGCTTCGCATGTATCCGCAGGCCTCAGAAGACAATATACCCAAAGCCATTCTATCTACTCAAGGGGAGTATAAACCCTAAACCCTAAATAGTAGTTTCCAACTTCTTTTCAATTATCCCTATATAAACTTTGTCTAATCCAATATACTGTATAATAGTTTCCATTTCATGTTCCTCCACTTGATTCCATTTTCCGTTCCATAATCCCTCAGATGCGCCACAACCCCGTTTCCGCTGAAGAAAGAAGAACCCATTTTGCTCTAGCAGAACGAAATAGATCAACATATACCCCAATAATGGAGAATCAGATAGAAAAGAACATGGAAAATGAAATAGAAACTGCTATATAAAAAGGGTTCTGTAAGGACATCAAACAAAACTTCTTTACAAGAAACTGCGAACCCGAAGGAGGTCCGGAAGAAGTCCCCAGTTGTACTTCAATAGACCTTCAGCAAGGAAAAAAAGTGTTAGTTTCCCTAAAGGGGGGGACCCCCAATACAGACCCCAATATACTATAATCTTCACCATGGGCACCCAAAAACCCAAACCCTAAACCCTAAACTCTATATAGGCCCTATGTAACCCTTATATCCCCCTTAAAGGTACCCCTAATTCTGGGAAACCCCTAAGTCTCCTAAAACCTGAGCCAGGCCGCCTCGCGGAACCCTGCAAGGTGCGATGCAGCTTCTGGAGGTCCACCTCCAAAGAATCCAACCTGGACGACACCTGGACGGCTGCGGTTAAGGGTTTAGGGATTAAGGGTTTTGTGTTTTGGGAATGGCCTGGGCTTAAGGCGTTGGAGCAGAAAACCCAGAGTTTCCAAGGTCTAGGATTGAGGGCCCTATATGGCCCCTCTATACCCCTGGCCCGTATAACTGAACAAATACCACGTCAGCCCAGGGATATGCTGAAACCTAAGGAAAAGTAGAAGCTGCGATCAAATTCAGATTCACAAACTCAAACCCCTGAATGCTTTGAGGTAACCCAGGTGGCCTCTGGAGAAAGACCGGATTCGGGTAAAGCCATAGAATTCAGATTGCGGCGAAACTTCCCGAACTCTCTCTCAACCAGCTGCTGATTTTCATCCACACCTGCTTGCAGGCAGCAATCTTGCAAGGGATATTACAAGACAAATATAGTCTGTAAGGATAAGCAGAAAAGAGAAGGATACTACTGGCAACCATGATCACGTTCTGCTGCTTCATGGAGAGATGAGCAGAGTCATAAGAGCAGGGAACTAGCAGAATCGATCAAATCCCAATGAACTTCCAGGCGGCCAAGCATGAAGATAGGCCACCTGATCCCTTGATCTCCTCCGTGATTTCTCAGAGACAAAGAAACACTTGTTGCAGAGTTCAAGACAACAAGGATTCACACCATCATGCCCATGTGCATGCCATTTTGACGGACCTCCCCTCTAGAACCACCCATTGGTGCCTCAAAACGAAAGTCAAACTGCCTGGGCCACATGAAAATCAATTGATTAAAGATTATGCTAGTGAGAATCACTTGCCCTGAGAAGAGGTCCCGCATCTTTAGAAATATCAACTCCTTTTTCGCTGTGACTCTTTAGCTTTGTAACGATGTCTGCTGAACCGTTTGCACTTTTCGGACGCCTGCCCGCAGATTCTGCAGCTGCTCTTGCAACTTGTTACTGCTCTCCTCCATGTTGACCTGTAGCCCGCGGAGCGAATCCTGAAGATGGGTTTCATTTGAGGTAGTGTCCAGTCGGGACGCTGCTGCCATCATATCCCTTTTTAGATTTGCCTTTGTTTGCCTACACGGGGCTCATCGAAAGGACCTGATTCTGGATAAACTAAACATACCCTAGCCATTAGCTGAATGAAAGCCTGAGGCTCTGCCAACTCCCTGCATTCATCATTCCGGGTCTGCAAACTTTGCTCCATGGAGCGGAGCTTCGGCCCAGACTCGAAATTTGCAAGTTCCTGCTTCATGCCTACCTTCAGCTGAGACATGATGGAAGCGGGATCCGGCCAATTGTTGCATCTATCTGTCAGTGCTTGCAGTTTCCTTTCCGCGGCTTGGAGCCTCGGGCTGAACTCCAACTTGGAAAGTTCCCGCTGAATCTCCACCTTCAGCTGGGGCAAAATGGCGGCCGATGGCTGGATGGCCTCCACGTTGCGATTGAATTTGGCCCACATTCCTGAAGATAGGCGAGGAATCTGCATGCAACTCTATCCCTTATAAGCAAGGCCTGTGCTTATCTACACAGTTCTGGGCTTGTGGTATATGCATCCTCACACATAAAATGCATTTCCAGGACAGCGTGGTATCCATCAGCAAGGTTCTTATTGTTGCGAACAGCAGTCTCCACTTTTTGGATGCTCTCCTGCAGATTGCGAGCTGCCTCGTTGCGAACCTGCACACGTCACTTCTATGATAAGCAGCAAACATCATGCGGCTTCGGGCAGCAAATAAAGACCTGCCATTCTTGTTCGAAAAAACCTTCAGCTTTTTGTATTCTTATGATAACACTTTTGCTGTGACACATTCTGCACTTGAAATCATCCATGCCCATGCGTACCTGCTAAAGTTGCAATACTAAACTTGAAGCACAACTCCTGCTCCAGCTTCTTCTCCATGGCTTCTTCACGCCTGGAGCCTTGGAACCAACCACCCCAGGTCTTGCCGTGCTCCTCAGCCTGATTTCGCTGACACGGCGTCTTGCTAAGCCCTAAACCCAACCCAAAAAAATGAATTAATCATTTCAAGTAGCCCCGTCCAATGGAGGTAAAGTCTGGCAGCTGGAGACTTTTGCCTTTGGAGGTGGTGGATGAACTAGAGCTTAGACTCTATAGATTTCAGGTCTGTGTGGAGCTGATGCTAATTGACCTTAAAAGTCCAAAAGTATGCCGATAGCTGCAAATGAGGAACAAGTGTGTCTGGAAACATGCGAGTTCTTGCCAGGATGCATCCAAAAACATCGTGCACAATGGCTGAGCCCTGCGTGCCTTGAAGCACGAGGGACCGATTTGGCCCCCCCTCCCATTCCCATGTGTGGCCTGGAGAATGGCCGTGTTTCATGCGAACATACTTATACTGCCAAAATTCTGGCAAAGGGAGAGGGACCTCACACTGCCACACAGGATAGCCACCACCATCAGTGCTGATGTGCATGTCGAAGCCTTGCGCAACCCAATCGCCAATTCCTGGAACACCTGGAGCGGGGCGGACTTTAACACACAGCACCAAAACTGTCTGCCCGGAAGCAAACCCATCCTTGACTGGCTACTGCTAGCTTTGTTATAGACTCACTCCTGGCTATACACAGTCTCAAGCCATCGTGAGCCTCCACAAAGCTTGATGAACTCGCCAGGTTTGGTTGGCGCCTCCACGAAGAATGTGCAGATTTCCTGACAGTAATGCACACACTGTTAGAACCTAACTGCACGGACCACAGATAGCTAATGGCATGTCACTTCAGGCCGTCCTGCTTTGCTGACTTCTCGGTCCGAGCCACGCAACTACCAAATGGCGAAATCATGGCTAATTGGCAGAATGACTGCTGACATGTATTGCTTGTGAACACAACTGGCGCAGGATGCTCGAAGGATGTACTTGTTAACATAACTGCGCTGATGGATATCTCAGGTTTTATGGCACACTTAAGCTGATGTAAGCATGTCAAGCATGCTTGATCCATCGTCGCACTGCCGACATTCCCCTTGCAGTGCAATTAGTATATTTCGCGTGGGCAAGCATTGTTTGAAAGGATGATTCGTTCCCTGTGACGATAAGAACTGAAATTTCACGGCAATTGGTGACATCAGTAAGTCCTAATCGGCTCGGGAGTTCGTCCTTGGCTACATGAACCCGTCGGAAATATGCTGGGCACTACAGCATGATCGAAACCCTGCCAGCAGCGCGGCGTAAAACATGCTACGTTTCCTGGTCGCTGGTACTTAGGTAAATCATGTCGCTTGTGCGAGCGAAACGCCAACTCAGCCAAGTAGTATCAGCAGAAATCACCGGAATTACTCTTCTAAGGAGAAATAGTTTAGGGCTTACAGAATCTGTAGTGGCTGGACAAGGATCTCCCCAAATAACCGTAAACGTGGCATTGCCCACCCTAAAACCTAAATCCCGAAACCCTAAACGTCTAGGTACAAGCAATCATAGCACTTCCTCCCAGAGAAATCCTCCATGAGAGTTCGCCAACATGCTTGAAGGTTTAGGGATTTCGGCTTTATGGTTTGGGGAATAGGCTTTCTTTACCTTAGGGCTTAGGGCCAAGGGGTATATTGAAGTACAGCAGAGGGACCCCTTTTGTAGGAAATACCAGCAGGTCTCCAAGGAGAGTGGCTCCATTTTGGGGATTCGTGACGGGTTCTGCCTTCTGAAACACCCATATCTGCCCGCTACTTGCTGATGCCTCAGTTCACGATGACCTGCACTAACATGAAAAAAAGATCATACCGTTCAAGGCTGCACTTGTCAAAAACTTTAACCAGAACAAGAGACAATTAAGTCAACATGGCATTGATAAGACAAAAAAACTATCCGCAGTAGAAGATGTTGCTATTACTTTAGCAGTAGTTCCAAAACTTGTGGTCAGAACCGCCCTGCTACACAGAACAATATTCCGTATGCCTCACAGATCCCCTATACAGCCCTATGTCACCCCTACACTCTTTTAATGAGCGCTGTGATGCAGGCGGGACCTCTTTCATTTCCATTAGCCCTTCGCCTCTTCTCGCAACTCCCTGTTTGCATATGTACCCTATCTTCGTATTTCTCGACAAAGAATACAATCCTCAATCAAGGCCTTTCTGGGCATCTTCCTTAGGGTAACTACAGTGAGGCGCGAGCTCGTTTGGGCTGGTTCTAGTTTTCTTCGTTACCTCAACTTATGGGATGTTAAGACAGTCTGAACACGCGGGTGACCATTTTTGATTCCAGCTTCAGCCTCCAGGGTGCACCCGCTGGAATTGGGTGATCTCTCCGCATGCGGTGTACTCAGCCCCGTGCACCAGCGGGCCTGCGGATTCAATGGCTCCCTCCACCAGAGCTTTACCCTACTGTCAAGCGCCACGCGCTTCAGGGTTGTGGTACTTGGCCTAAATTACTGTTCGCAAATTGAGGGAATAGGAACCCCACTAAAGGCATCCGTACTGTCATAAATTTAGAGCAAACCAGTGTAATTCATTCGCTTCAGTTGCTCCACCATGGGTTTTTTGAATTAGGCCTACATTGCCCCGCAAGCAAGCATGAAAAGCCTCCAGGTCTAGATGGACGCTCAAAAGCTGCGGGGGGCCCTGTCCATCAGTAGACGGCCGTGGTACTTGAGATGCTTGCGCACTAAAATAAATGCGTCCTGTGTTTTGTAACTGCAACACAGCACGACTCGACAAGGACTGCAAGAACACTACTTTAGCCTATCCGGCTTTCGACGACAGCATAGAATGCCCTGTTGAAAACTTGCACGTCAACCTTGACCTTTAAGCCCAAAACCGTTACACCAAGAACAAGAGCGTGTTTTGTTTAGACCTTCGAGCCCGTGTTGTAGTGGGAAATTGACCGGTTCGCTATCCGCGCCGCTAACCCTAAGTCCACGCCCCGAGCCCTAAACAACTCTATATTAGCCCAGTTACCATTTATTCCTGTTCCATTGCTTTTCAGCTTTTGGGGGAACATCCCGAAACCCTAAGTTCTAAACCCTAAGCCTGAACCCTCAACCCTGAGGCCCAACCTTGAATCCATCTGAATCCTAATCCCAGCCCTAAAACCTAACCCTAAACCCTTGACCCTAAACCCTGAACCTAAACCCTTAACCCTTCTTGGGGTCCCAAAGCCAAGATCCGCGGCCTGGCTGGGGAAATCCGGGAACCAGCCACCGCCAGAGACAACCGAAGCATCCGCCCTTCCCAGGGTTTGTGGGCTTAAGGCTGCTCCATTTAGGGTTTAAGGTTTAGGGATTGGGGTTCGTGGCTTAGGATTCAACGATCAGGGTTTAGGGTTTAAGGTTCGCAGTTTAGGGTTTAGCACTGAGAAGTTTTGTGTTTGTACACGGGCTGGAGTAAGGATGAGCAGTATAGGTCAATTGGACATGTGTTGTTTGATGGTTAGCAGGGAAACTGTTGACAAGTCTTAGGCTCTCACAGTACTTGGATACATTCCCCTAGAATTGGGTGTTCGGGTTCTGGGTACCACGCCATGATGCTTCCCCGAAGTAGCATACCGGTATGCTCTCTGAACTTACTGGGTCTTAGTAGGGAATAAGGTATATATTCCCCATATAGTATGTTCCCTTAATTGTTCCTACTGACCCTCAAACCCTAAACCCTACAGCCCAATCCCTGTATAGCATATTCCGTTATTCCCTGCTAGGAACCAGTAAGTGGAAATGGCAAGCAAAGTGCTACCGATCGAGTCCGCCGGACCTCCAACTTTTTAGGGTTTAAGGTTTGAGGTTTAGGGTTTAGGGTCTTAAGGGTTTAGGGTTTAGGGTCTTAAGGGTTTAGGATTTCTTTAAGAGTTTAGGGTCACAAACATGTACTACCCCAATGAGGTCACACGCGCCTCAGTGGCCCTCCATTTTGCGGCCACATTTTCCTTGTGCAACTCGCGAACCAATGGACGGAACATTGGTAGCACCTGATTTAGGGGTTCAGGGTTTAGGGTGTTATGTCCAAAGGCAATCCAGGATTTAGGGCTTACGGGGCGTGGAACAGTCCAGGCATGTTAACGTCTAGGGCTTATGATAAATGAGCATGTGCCACTGCCATATTTTTTGGGGGGGAAGCGGGAGGTGATCTAGTCTTCCCTACGACTCCGCTATAGCTTTGGGGTCACCCAGTACCCAGTCAGATCTTCAAGGTGAGACGAAGATTTGTATGGACAAATGGGGTATAGGGTTTAGGGATACCATGTTGGGGGTCCCAAGCATAAGGATTATGGTCCATATAATATTGGGGTCGGCTTTGGGGTCCTCATGTTCAGGTAAACTACCAAATAATATAGTCAAGTCCTTCAGGGAGGGGATAGAAGGATCCGAAACATGATGGTCTTGCTCCCCTGCTCACCCGTTATGGCAGCCGTTGGGGTGGTTCTGATTGTGTCTTTAGAAGCACAAACAAGCCAAGCTGTGCCAAGAAGTCATGCAGCTTAGAACGCAATCTCATACACATGCCACCCCGTTACTCGACGTCCCCTGACGCTTCAAGTCAAATCTGCAGCTCAGGACCCAGCGTTCCCTGGGTCCGCCTCCTGGGACATACTGTTGATATGGGACATCTTGAACCACGTAGGGCCCCCCCACTGCCGTACGTACAAGGATTCACGGGACTTCGGGCATTGCAGGAATACCGGCGTCAAAAGCAGGCGCAGGCGAGTGTTTCCGAGTCCAACAAGCGGTACCCTTCATGGACCACATGCAGCATAAGCAGCCTCAGTATATACTTTACTGTACTGTTGCAGTTTCCTCATTTGTGTCTTGGGGCTTAAGGAAAGAAGGTAAGGCCAGGTGTTGAGCAATCTCCAATATTCCTTCTTTCCAAGTGGGCCGAACGTTTGAACAGGGTTATCGATTCTAGGCATTCGCTATATCGCATTACAGGGCAAACGGACTGCGAAGAATGAATGCACAACCGAGCAAGCCAGAATCTCACATGGACGATCCCATGAGCCGGCTGGATGTTCATTGAATCGTAGTACAAGTTTCGTACTGGAATCCATGTTCTCATGAGCCGGCTGGATGCTCACTAAATCGTAGTACAAGTTTCGTACTGGAATCGGCCTTCCCATGACCCGGCTAGATTTTGCAATAAATCGTAGCAAAACGTCAGTATGGGAATCGACGTTCCCAATCCAAACATTGGGGTTATCCTTTTTGGAATGCTATATCATTTTACACACCCGACGCCCTCACCCTTACGTTGCCAAGATATCGTTTCTCAGACATCAAGACGCAACAAATCCAGTGACC